GAGGGCTAGCCTTGAGCTGAAGAGCTGAGGGATAGCGCCCAGGCCCAGAGTTCAGGCCCCACAACCGGACCCAAAAAAAAAAAGAAAAGTTCTGGGTGCATCCTCCTACCCTCTTTCCCCTGCTGATGTCTGTCAGTGTGTCTTTTTAGTGGCATTTGGGAAAGTGTGTGGGTATACACCACTTCATGAAGTCTCTAAGTATTTAAATAGTGCAGCACTCAAGCATTAGTTTAATTCGATTAGAGTGAGCTACAGAAATGTCTCTACGATAGGGTCTGGAGAGACTGAGAAAGAAACTAGATAGGGATGGAGTTGGGATATGGGTTTATGCAAGAGAGTTCAGTACATGAAGTCTTTCTCCACCTCAAATTGCAGTTCAGATTCACTTCATTAATAGTAAAAGATGAAAAAAAGAAAATGTGAGAAGTTGCCCACATATTTTTGCAGTGCTGGAAATCAAACCCAAAGGTTTGCATGTGCTAGGCAAGCATTCTTGCAAGCATCTCTCTCTCTCTCCATCCCTTTCTCCCTCCCTTCTCCCTCCCTCCCCCCTCTCTACCTCTCTCTCCTCTCTCCTGGGGATGGAGATTGACCTTAGGGCCTTGTGCGTGCTAGGCTGGAGCTCTACCACATGAACCAAGCCTTGAGCCCTTTCTGCTTTCATTTTTTTCCCCCACCCGATCCTTATATTTATGCTTTCTGTGTAGTTGGCATGGGAGGCTCATGCAATTGCCCCTGAGTTTTTATTGGTTAAGATGAGAGTCTCTTAAACTTTTTTTTCCAGGCTGTACTGCAATCTTGATCCTCCTATCTTAGCCTTCCAAATAGCTGGGATTACGTACATTTAGTCAAGGCTCTTTGCAAAGTACTAAGTAGTTCGTGTAATTTAGCCTGAGGAACTCAACAGTGACACAATGGTCAAAGAATTTTAGTTCGAAGTTGGGTGATGTAAGTGGCTGAGACTTGTGACTGTTAAACCTGTAAACACCTTTTTTGTGAGTGTGTGTCTGATTCTTACCTACTTGACCCCAGAGAGCATCCTACTTTCTTTTCCTTTGGAAACTATTGTTTTAACTTTTATTTTGCCAGTGGATATCCTAGCTTCCCAACTTACTTTCTCTTTGCTTCTAAATAAAACATGCTCAGCTTTAGCTTTTTGTGCTTTCATTAGAATAATTTGTATTTTAAATAAACTGTGGAAGCCAGGGAGCACAAAATGATTAATATAGGACAGTTGCAGAGGTTTAAGTAATCTTATAGCTTGCGTTAGATTCATAGCCCTAATTATACTTTCTAATTTCCTTAAGTCAAACTTCCTTTTAAACCCTGGGTATTATTATTATTTTTATTATAGATTCCATAGATCTGGCATGAGGCCCAAGACTCTTCATTTTCACAAGTATGCTCTGCTGATTATAAAATCCTCATATGTGTAAGTGCAGCTAGATATTTGGAAGTTAGTAGTATCACATTAATAGTGAGTCTGTCAGAACGGATAGATGTTTGAGGAGCAGTGAATATGTATGTGTGAATGGATCTAGAAATGGGTGTCTAGGAGATAAGAGTAATGCAGTGTCATAGGGTGTAGTTTTGAGGGGAAAGTGGTTTATTGGGTTCACGATGATGACAGAAAAATTTGGCATCTAGAGATCTTGAGGTGGTGTGCTAGGCCTTCTGCTTTCCTTCGGATTTTCCTTTGGATTTTCTTCCTTATGTCTTAGCTCAGGAGATGTCTTGTGGCATGGTATTATGTAAGCTCTTTTACCTGCCTACGCATTCCTAGGTGATTTCATCCAGTTATATGGCTTCAAATATCATCTCTATTTGTGTAGTCCCCAACTTTATATCTCTAGGACTTCTGACCTCAAGAATAAAAAAAAAAAAACAGGGGCTGGGAAGGTGGCTCAGTGGTAGAGTGCTTGCCTTGCATGCATGAGGCCCTGGGTTCGATTCCTCAGCACCACATAAGCAGAAAAGGCTGGAAGTGGTGCTGTGGCTCAAGTGGTAGAGCACTAGCCTTGAGCTGAAGAGCTGAGGGACAGTGTCCAGGTCCAGGGTTCAGGCACCATGAACTGGCCAAAAAAAAAAAAAAAGAAAAAAAAAAGAATAAAAAAAACAATTGCTTAGTCGACATTTTTTTGGCTGAAAGGTTTTTCCAACAGGGGAGGAATTTGGAAGTTACTGCAGTAACCCCAAACATAGCTTGCACTTGAGAGATCACTGGAAAGAAAGGGATGAATTTGAGAGACATTTTGTAAATATAAAGCACAGAACATTGGCTAATGTATTAGGTGTGACATTAGATGGGAGAGGGGAGAGGGGAGGAAATAGATAATATCTGGATCCCAGTTTTTGCCTTAGGCACTTGGGAAAATGGTTACATCATGAACTGAGAGGAGCCACCAGGATTCTGGAGGAAAAGGAAGGTAGCTCGATTTTTCTTATCCTTGTCTCAGAAGATACCTCCGCAGTAGCTGTTGGATTCAACTCCATCTCTGTAATTCTAGCCACCATCTGTTGTGTGTAGTATCCTCTTTTTTTTTTTTTCTCTTCTTCCTCCTCCTTTTTTTTTTTTTTTTTTCCTGGTCCTGGTACTTGAACTCTGGGCCAGGGCACTGTCCCTGAGCTTCTTTTGCTCAAGGCTAGCACTCTACCTCTTGAGCCATAGCCTCACGTCTAGCTTTTTCTGTGATTAATTGGAGATAAGAGTCTCATGGACTTTCCTAGGTTGGCTTTGAACCTTGATCCTCAGATCTTAGCCTTCTGAGTAGCGGGGTTTACAGGCATGAGCCACTGCCCCCCCCCTCCCGTAGTATCCTCTTAATTGTTTTTTTTTTTTTTTTTTCCTTAGCCAAGAGCCACAGGTAAAAGATTTTTATCTTTTTGAAGATTAAATCAATCATGCCAGTGTCCTCTCTTTCCCACCCCTCCAAACCCCGTCCTGGAGTTTGAATTCAGGGCCTTGTGCTTACTCGGCAGGTACTCTACCACTTGAAGCACACCTTGAACCCTTTATGATTTTGTTATTTTTCAGATAGGGCCTTGTAGTTTGCCTAGGCCGACCTGCACTACAATCCTGCTGTTCATGCTTCCCAAATAACTAGGATGATAGGTATGTGCCACTGTGCCCAGGATTTTATTGAGTTAGCATCTTGTGAGCTTTTTGTCTAGACTAGTCTCAAACTGTGGCTCTTCCAGGTAGTTAGGATTACAAGTATGAGCCACCATATTCAGCCATATTGTACTTTTTTTTTATTTTGTCTGTGTTGGTACTTGAACTCATGGCCTGGGCACTGTCCCTGACCTCTTACGCTCAAGCTAGCACTCTACCACTTTGAGCCACAGAGCCACTTCTGGTTTTGGGGGGTTATTTGGAGATAGGAGTCTTAAGGATTTTCCTCCCCAGGCTGGCTTTGAACCTTGATCCTCAGATCTCAGCCTCCAGAACAGCTAGGATTACATGCATGAGCCACCAGTGCCCAGTTTAACCCATTGTTCTTAGACTATATTCTAGCATCACTACAAACCTTCTAAGTTTTTATCTGGTCTGGCCCCTTATATCTCAACTTCATCTTCTTTCTTCTCAGTTGCTTTTAGGATATTGCTCTATTAAACATATGCTCTATCACTGAATCATACCTCCAGTCCTCTGAGATAATGAATAGAGATCACTATATATGATTTAGTAAGATTGAGAGTTGCTTGGAGGATGGAAGTTGCAGATGGAGGAAGGAAGGAGGGGGTGAAGAGGTATATTAGGGTAGCAGTTTACCTTGGAATCCAGACAAACAGTAAGGTAAGAAAAGCCCAGATAGGAAATTTGGGAGGCAACTCTGCTCCTATTGTTGACATAAGTGGAAGGACTG